AATACTACTTGCAGTTATTAAAAATTAAAGTACGACGGTACTTGGTTTGTTTCAATATCTACTTCTTTGCTTATTCTCTCTCGATAAATAAATGACAGGCTGAAAATCACTAGGCGTACAAATGTAAGTCAATTTTCGATCATTAGACTAAATGACTCAATCATGATACCTTTATTTTCATTTCACATGAAATCAAAGCATTACTGTTCATAGAAATTCATCGGTTACTGTCTAAAGGTGGTTTTGAAGGCAGACTAAGACAAATTATTGAACTGTTTGTAGCTGAGTAACCCATTTCAATGGATTTCATCCTAGTTCGCATCTTTTCTGAAGTCAGTCTCAGAAAATGTAGCATGACATTTTGCATGTATGCGGATATATGTATATAATTTACTGTACATAGTGCGATTACCTTCAGTTAATTTTCTACATCTTACGATTCACTACAACATCTAATTTTCGCTTCTAGTCACGGAAAGTCAGAGTATTCTGTTTTAAATAAAGTGTAACTGAAAGGTTCTAATGAAATATACATCTTGTGAAATTTTAATTGATTCTCCAAATTTGTCAAAATCAGATGTTATGTTACGTATCATTAAATTACTCTTGTCGAATGGTCTAAGTGTAGATGGATAATATGACTCATGTGGACGAATAGGTTAGCTTATGAAACACTCAGGAGTATACCATCTTGCATCATTGGAATAAAATCTACTTACTACATAAAACTACTCGTAGAAATGAAATTAGTGACTGTCACGTTATGTGAATTAGCAGATGGATGGAAGAAACTTTTGATATTGAGAAAATTCTTATTAATAACATTTGTTTCTTTATGTAGACTTTAGACAAGCAGCTGAATGAAAGAAATAGGTCCTAATGCCATCCTAAGTGTCAGTAGGACTAAAAGGTGAAATTCTGTACTTGCCTTATAGTTTGTACTGTAACGTAAAGAGTGCTTAGAAAACAGAAATACCAAGCAAGGTTTAGTACACCTTTAAGTGTAACTGCACCTACGTTAAAGTAAATGGGATTTAAAATTATTCATGTTTTCAAAATAATAAACTTTTCAGATGTTCCACTAAAATATACATGAAAAAAGTGGGTATTGTGGCAGAATTTAATCATATATTAGATTTCTTTATTTGATTTATAACACAGTGATAGAGTATTATTTACTTGACAACGTTCCCAGCATAAATTATTACTCATAATCATATCAATGTAATCACACTACTTTCAACACCTGATTTCATAGTCCTTTCACCTCATATTATTTGTTTTCATTGGTGGTAAAATTGTACATATCCCTGGTATAGGTGTTGCCTCTTTCTTACTACATATATTGGATGTTGATTCGATGAAAAAAGATTCAGTAAGCAATGTTGCTCTCTCTCTCTCTCTGTCTCTTTCTTCACCTAGTTGTATTGGACTTAAGTAGAGTGGTTTCCTTCCAACCTATTGTGTGGTTATGCGTTAATGCATGCATTGCAATAGCTGAGTGTTTTTTGACGTCACTGATCTTATTTGAGTCTGTCATTCTGTATTCGGCTGAATCTCTATGTTCTGATAATCCAATTGACTCCGACTGGTTAGTGTGATCTATATATACTTGACCTCACAGTCATTATATGGAATTTGATAGATTAGATTATTTTGCTTAATTAGTTCTATCGGATCCTTATACTCTCAAACAGAAAAAAATTACAGTGTGATTGCCAATATCTCCAATGGTAGCAGATATATTTATCGACAGTTGGAAAAACATGGATTTACAATCGTTTAGTCTAGGTGGCGATATGTGGATGACACATTCACTCTGTTGAAATTGGAACATATTGACAATTCCCTCACACATATAAACTTAGTAGTAGACGCAATTCAGTTTACTTACGAGGTAGAAAATGAACAAAAAGAATTACCTATATTTGATTTCAGGATAAAACGAAGGACAGATGGTTTGCATACTAACATCTACAGAAAACCAACACATTCTAACAGGTATCTAGACTTTAGGTTGTCTCATCTAATGTCATTTAAGGCAGGCTCAGTCAAATTTCTAAATGATAGAGCTAGAAAAGTGACTAGTTAGTACAAAGTAGTAAACAAGCAACTGAAATACACAAAAGAAACGTTAATAGTTAATAATTATCCAACACAGCTCTTCAAAAATCCATACGAAAAAGACAAAAACGAAGTAGTAACAGTAACACTAGTACGAATAACAATGACAACACAAGTAGAAAAGAGTTCATAATCTCGATTATGTTACCCTATAAGCAAGGTGCATCAGAAACATTACGCAGAATTCTCAACAAGGCTAGAATGAGAATGGGATTTGAACCTACCGACTCACTCAAAGATAAGCTTTGTCAGCCTAGAGATCCGATAGAACTAATTAAGCAAAATAATCTAATCTATCAAATTCCATATAATGACTGTGAGGTCAAGTATATATAGATCACACTAACCAGTCGGAGTCAATTGGATTATCAGAACATAGAGATTCAGCCGAATACAGAATGACAGACTCGAATAAGATCAGTGACGTCAAAAAACACTCAGCTATTGCAATGCATGCATTAACGCATAACCACACAATAGGTTGGAAGGAAACCACTCTACTTAAGTCCAATACAACTAGGTGAAGAAAGAGACAGAGAGAGAGAGAGAGCAACATTGCTTACTGAATCTTTTTTCATCGAATCAACATCCAATATATGTAGTAAGAAAGAGGCAACACCTATACCAGGGATATGTACAATTTTACCACCAATGAAAACAAATAATATGAGGTGAAAGGACTATGAAATCAGGTGTTGAAAGTAGTGTGATTACATTGATATGATTATGAGTAATAATTTATGCTGGGAACGTTGTCAAGTAAATAATACTTCTCATCTAAATCCACATAAATAGAGATGGGTTACTTTAAAAAGTTTCTAAGGACCAACTTTGTGTCATGTTGACCGTGGACATGATGCAATTGCAAATCATGACTAGATTTTGATAACTACTTTTGAGTATTCATTATTAACTTACTGTCAGTAGTATCTTGGGTAGCTTTATCGTTGTAGACTTCTTTAAAAAATATATTCATGGCAATCAACTGAGGGTTATATTTCTTACCAATGTTGATTGATTGACCTTTCCATAAAATTGACAATATACCATATTAGTATTCAATAACAATTAATTTGCTTATAAATCATAATGAAATATGAATATTTCATATTAAGTTCTGTCTAAAACTTCTAATTTCCAACAAACAAAAGTACACAGTCTGTATTAGTTTCAAAATTTCAATACTAAATATACATTTCTTTTGCTGCCTAAGTTAACAGAATATTCAAAACGGACTTCCAACTTCGTCTATTCTCTTTCTGTCTGAAAACTATATTAAGGAGTCTTTCAGAAATGACTTTTTTAATGTATACTTCCCACTCCACTCTCCAAACAAGGAGAGAAGGAAAGAAAGATACATCTGGAATACTACTTATAACTATTATAAATCTGGTAGTCTCTAACTTTACTCACTCCAGAATGTTTGTTTTAACCATGAAAATGTCAATAAAATCTCAAAATGAGGCTCTTAATCAAATACAGAAAATGTTAAGTAGACATACAGTTCACTTGACTAGTACGGTGTTTCTCTAATATCCAGTTAACAAAGTTGTTCTCAAGAATGATACGATCAATGGGTTTAAAAATCCTATATTTTGTTATATATTTCACTGGCCAGCTTTATTGTCTGCTGTTTTAAACTCACATGACAATTCATGTCAAGCAGTTTCTTTTAGAAAAAAGCTCTATATGATGACATTGTGACAACTAAATGATTAAGGTAGTATTCATCATAGACTGAGCTCAGCTGAAGAACCATTGAATACCTGATAGCACTGGACAACTGTTTTTTCTGGGCATAGGATTCCTTAACAGTATGCACTCACGATCCAGTCAAGGATCAAACTCATAACCTTCAGGTTGTACAATCCCTGTCTAGGTTCTGGGTGCATGATCCTGAGGAGTTCCACACTGGTATGAAGCAGTTATCCATTGATCCTAAAGTTTAGATGGTTCTCCAATTGATGTCATTCCGTGATTAATACTGCCTTAAAAATGAAATCTTCATCAACTTCGAAAACATAACTGAATGATTGTTACGGTAATGCAAAGCTTTTTAAGGATACTAATGAGTCACATGTTTAGAGTTAAAACTTACTTTATTAAGTATTAGTAGCCAAATCATTCATATTCGATTTCCGGCCATACAATATATATAAACATGTAATACTTATAAATACGTAATGTATCTACTACATAAATACGAATAAATAAAACGCCACAGTCCCTGAACTGTGGTTAGATCCGTAACAGTGGTGTTTGATTAGACAATTCTACTTTTTCTATTTATGATAAACCGTCATAAATTTCCTGATCTGTTAAGAAGTCAGGTTTGATACCATTTTGATATACAACTTTGCCATCCAATTTGTGAGTTCATTCCGCACTTTTCCTGCTTCGTAGAGGGAAATAAATTATTTTACCGAGCTGGATTTTTCTGTGTGTGTGTTTATGTCAGATCTAGTCCTTGTGTTTATAAGCTGAAGTTTATTCACTTAGGAAGGTGTTAACTTTTCTTTTGAGGGGGAAGTCTTTTAGCATTATCTGCATCTCAGGCAGAATAAATTTACTGGTTAGAAAAAGGACAAAAATAAGTCTCAAATGCAGCGCACTAGGGAAACAAGGTTGAAACCAACCTCCTAGCATTCAGTCGGGACGAAATCATTCTCAAAAGTACTTATGAATGATATACTGATTCAACCGCGATTTTAAGCCATGACCACAATTAAACCTGCATTCCGGTAACTCAAGGAAGTGATAAAAACACAATTCTGTAGTTTAAATTATGAATGGACAGAAGCAAGACCATTATGCACTTTTTTTAATATGATGCATTATACAATGCTATAACTTTCTGTGTTATTTATTTTCTTCAGGATAAATACGTACTTATGTCATTGGCAATATTGTGCGTTGTTAGTGTATGGCATGCTGTGGTCACATTAATTCCAAGTGATGCAGAATTCGAACAACTTACAGCAAAGAACCTTTTAAAGTCAACTGATCCTCAGTTTTCTTTTATGAAACGTTATAAAGAACTAACATTTGTAAATTCAAATACGTTGAACAAAACATCTGAAATGACCGATGCTTTAAATGAAATCAATGTTCATAAAAATATAACCTTGGTAGAGGTTAGTATGATAGATCATTTTTTGTTTTTTATTTTTGTTCAATTCATATTTACTAGATTCAGTTGTTGATGATATTAAGTAAATCGTGATAAAAAAAGTTGTTGCAGTGTTTTGATAACTTGTTATAAGAATGAGTAAAATCAGCCAGGAAAAGGAATTAAAACTTGATGAAACCGTGATAAAAGTAAAGGATTATTTTTGCTTGTATAAATCAACAAGTATTTCTCATAGAACACCATGATAAAGTACTGAGGGAAAAATCCATATGAGAGGTAGTTAAAACCGATTCTACGCCTTCTGTTGTAATATATTTATTCCTGAGAAATTACATTCATAAATGTATCTGTTCAATTGAATAAAAAGGATCAGTAGCAGTTAGCTAAGCTTGATGAAATTTATTTCAAGCAAATATCTAGCACTTTTATAAAAACATAAGGTGTTATTCTAGAACTGATATGAATAGTTAGCCATTATATGAATATACAGCGAAATGGTTTAGAATATTTAAAAGTTCACTTATTTATGGAGTTTTACAAACTCTGAGCAGCTGGTTGACAATTGTACCTCATAATGTTTGCCTTTTGTCCCACTCTGACCAAATGTCAGAAACGCTATGTTCACTATTACGTATTCTTTTGTTTCAAGTTGTTATTCATCGAAGACTGACATCAGTTGGAGGAACAAAGGAAACCTGGGAGCACTGGACAGCTGTTTCGTCAGTCTTCGATGAATAACAACTTGAAATATTTCCAAATCTCCACAACCCCCTCAAAATTTAATTGAACTAGTATTCTTTTGTGTTGTATTCTAAAGCAAGGTGAACTGAATTGTGAAATTAGATGGAATAAGCTAGTTGATATATTCTTTTGTGATAAGGCTATGAGATAAGAAATCCTGAGGTTGGGATCTAGGGTTTCAACAAAGAAGTCATATGTTAACATCATAAACTTTTATGAGCCAACGTACTCACTGACTACAGTTAGAATGATGAAAAGGATACATTCTGCTATATACTGTCAGTTTTATTGCTGAAAGCGAAACGTTCAGATGTAGTCATAAAGACAGGTGACTTCACCGCTCAAGTAGGGAAGCTTAGCCAATGGGAAAGGCATCTTTGAGGTATTTACGGAATCTTATCCCAGTGAGCTGACAATGGAGATCATCTGTAGCAATTCTGTCCTGATAATCATTTGTTTTTGACTAACCTTAAGTGTAAAAACAGACAATGTCTCACATGGACTTCGCTGAAACCAAACCAACAATAGATACAAATAAATTATGTACCATAGGTCATCGTTAGGGAGGATTGATGCAACATTAACTCTCTTCCAGAAGTTTCTTCCTGAGTTCCTATTACGCAGTGTTCGCAGAAAACGCGTGACAATGAAATTCTTGAAATCTCAGTTAGAAGATTTGAATATCGGTTTCTTATTTAGGGAGGAGATAGCGAAGGAGCTATCAGAATTCAATAACATTCCCTATCCTGAGGAAGCATGGTGTTATATTCAGTCTGCTTTAGAAACGCAGGCAAAGACAGCCGATAATCTATTTCCATATATTGGCAGACGTCAATGGTTTTCTGCTACCCTATCTGAAGTGACTGAGGCAAGGAGACTCATTCAACCTGGCTCTGACTACCATGGAGAGTGAAAGCAACTTTAAAGTAAGTTGACTAAGAGTCTTCACAATGACTGCAAGAACAGGCGGGTGAAGAAAGCGAGATACATGGAGAGGGCATAAGAGTTAGGCTTTTTAAAGATACTAGGAAGAAGAAAATGATAGTTACATTGATTAGTCACTGGAGGGTAACCAATTTCATGTTGTCTAGTCCTACATACTGAACTAATTCTATCGATCATTTTGCGATGTAGCCACCAGAATTGGCAGCCCGGCGTTGGGATGCGCTTTGCTAGATGTTAGTTAAATGGAGATAATTGACAGGAAACTCCGGACCTATGTTTCATGCTAGTTGACATTCTTCAGCAAGAGGTATCTGCAGCCTCGACGGAAATGACGTCCCGCTTGTGACCCACATCATTCAGTATCGTAGTCAGAAATGTTACCACTCAGCTATTCGGGCCATGACTGACGCGGGTTCGAATCTCAGGCAGGATGTCAGTCCTGTTGAGGTTGCAGACGCGCCTTTCTGACAAGTGCCAACAAGCACGAAACCTAGGTCCAGAGTTTCCTGCCGATTGGTTCCATCCAATTAATATCTATCAAAACGATGCATATTGAAACCATCACCTAGAAGGATGAGATGCTTATTACGACTAGGAACAGGTGGCTAGAACATTGGGCAAAACAACTTGAATCCTAGGTCAACAGGCCCTCAGCAACACTTCAGTTATCTAACATCCAGTCTTAACTTGAATAAAACGTAGATTTCAGTTCTCCAACTCTTCTTAAAGTTGAAAAGGCTCCATTGAATCTGAAACGATGCAAAGTAGTAGAACTTGGAAGTTTACCTCCCGAAGCTTTTTGAGAAAACCAGACAGATTTTAATCCTGGACGACAGCGCATCAATCAGATTTTCAATTTGCCACAGGTTCCGGAACACACATACTTACCGGTGACTAACACTCGAACTGAAGGCGGCTCGTTACTGTGTTGACTGCGAAGCGTTGCGACAGTGACCAACTGAAAAGAGAGCACCGAGGAAGTATGTAATCAGAGCCATCTATTCAAACTAACGCAGCTGTGAAAACGCTTATGGAAAGTTGTCATCGGAACTGATAACCACCAGTGGTGTTCGCTAGGGATGCCTACTGTTACCGTTACTACTTAACTTCATCATATACGTACTAATGGATATAACCTCAGGTATCTCTGACTTTACAGGTATTGTCCTACTCTCTGGAGATCATCTGGTTGACTTGGAGTATGCAGAGCTTCTTGTCTTGTCGGGTAAAGATGCGGACAAAGTGTAGGATCTTCTGGACACCTTGAGCAGAAATCTGAGTATGTTTGGCAGATGTTTCGCACCTTTAGATTGTAAGATGATACTTCAGAGCTTGTCTGTAACCACTCATATTTCAGTGATAGGGAATTAAGTGATTGAATGCCTGGACTACTTCACTAACTTGGAAAGTTGAATCAGCTAGAGCGTACTAGTTACTCACGAAATCTTAACTGGGATATATATAGTTTGTTTGACATTTCCCAGCTTGCGTTGCGTGTTTTGCCGGCAAAATATCTGACTACCTATTAAAGGACGGATATGCGCACTACTGTCCATTCTGTTCTATTATACGCCAGTGTGACATGGTCGTTAAAAGTAGAAGATAGGAAGATGTTTCAAGCTTTTGATTACAGGTATCTTCGTAGCATTACTCATCTTTGGTAGAATCACCATGTTGGTGATGTTGAAGTCAGAAGTGTACTAAGCAAGACAGGGAATTCAGTCAATGAGTTTGTGAATGACAGTCAACTAAAATGGCTTAAACATGTACTGCACATCCTGATCCATCACCTGTCTCGGCGTGCCATGCTAGGGAAAGCTAAATTAAGTTTGTAGAGGATTCAAGGTGGCTGGCCAGACCAAGACATGGCACCAGTCATTAAAGTCCCTTTCTGTTGGTCTGAGCTGCTTTGGGAGGCATAGAGTGCCTATTTAGGGTTCCCGAGAAGATAGAAATAAGTGGCTGGTAACTGTGATTGACATGGCTGAAAATCGGTCAAAATGGTGCAGATGTATTCAATTTTAACTGCTTCTAAGGCTAGAATGTTTTGACTAGGCGCGAGTTTTAAATTTCTTCTCCCTTCATATACCTTTTTCAACTTTGGTATTACTTTTCCTACCCAATCGTTCATTTGCATACTATTGTGAATTGTGGCAACTTGAACCAATACACTTTTGTACGAGGTTCTATGTTGATTTTGCCTGACAGTAAGTGACCACTTAGAATTTACCCGTCACTTTCCTAATTCTGAAGCATTTAATAATTCCTAATTGATTCACAACATGTTTTTCTTTATGGTTTTCCATTTAAGTGAGAAGAGAAGTTAACTATGACTGCTTTTCAATATAAATTTATCATGATAGTTTCCTTTATCTCTAAGTCATCCATTAACACACTTTAGTCTCAGTTAATGAACCCAAATCAATAAATATCACATGGTATACAAGATCATGAACTCTACTAAGTGATATAAAGTCTAGGCAAGTTATCATTTCATTTACTTATGGATTCACTGTTCAGCTGGACTCGCTTAGAACATCATCATCAAAATATCATTTTCTTTCGTTGTTGTTACTTTTACTTTCTTGAAGAATGTATCACTTTTGATAAGATCTATCTTATTAAACTTCCGATATTCACTACTTCAGTCAGTTATTTTTGTATTCATTTTGTTTCTGGTATGAACTGAGCACCATCTAATGCCATGGTCGATTGTTTTATTCACTTCCTGTGTAGTGCAATAGTCATAATATAAGGGATTCAGAAATAATAAATCTCGATGTCATTGCATAAAATATACGGATAATAAGCAGTACAGAAGAGACACAAATCAATAATTTAGTTGCTTTAGAATGCGATAAGTTTATCAAATTAATTTATTTTACACTTCCTTTTATTAAAAATAATATTTTAGGAAAACATGTCTTCCGATCCCAGCCATGTTACCACATTGGAAAGTAAAGAATCGAATGATGTTACAAAATCAACTAAATTATCTCAACAAACATGGATTGCTCTAGCACTACAATCAAAGAATCGTGAACAGCAGAAAAGACGATTAATGATGAGGATTGAAAGAGATGTGTTCGCCTCATTCTGTGTACTATATGTACTTGCTCATCTGACATTCATATTTTGGTTATATTTTGATGTAAGTGCATAGCGTATCTTTAATCTGTATTCAGCTAGTCAGTTTATTTTGTAATTAGTTTGATGAAGTTATATGAGCAATATCTCAGTGATGCACACGAACAGGGAAAATATTCTTCATATGATCCACATATTTTGACTTTTTCTCATTTTAATTTTAGATAGCTACTCCAAAGTTATCACACTTTTATATTTGCTGGATTATTCTTTGTTTTTCTTGAATATTCTACTAGTTTTATAGGTACATGCTCACATTCTTGAATTTCTAACTGCTTTTTATCATTACTGGTAAAGATGTAAATGACTAATTTATAGCGTTTGTAACACATAGTATTATTATTATTAGTCCCTTGGGTTCCTAGTGGAACATAGGGATTCAGTAGCACGTCTCCACTGAACTCTTTTCTCTGAGATCTTTTGAACCTGGTCCCACGACAGCACAGAAGCTCTCATTTCCTCCCCACACGACCTCCTCCATGTCACCCTCGGACATCCAACTCGTCGCTTCCCATGGGGATTCCACTCGAGTGACTGGCCTGACGCGTGATGTCCTCAGTCGGCCTTCTCAGTGCATGGCCAATCCATCTCCACTTCTTCCTGCATATTTGTTACGTGAAAGGTTCTTGGTTGGTTCCTTCCCAGAGCTCCTTGTTGCTTATTCCCATTATTCCGGCCATCTAATCTTCAGTAGCGAGCGTAAGCAGTTATTGATGAATGTCTGTAGTTTATTGGAAATCCCTTTCGTGACGCGCCAAGTCTCTGAACCATACAGAAGCACTGACTTGACGTTGGTGTTGAAAATCCGTATCTTGTTCCACATGCTGAGTGCAGAAGATCTCCACACTGGTTTCAGGCTAATGAACGCCTGTCTTGTTTTTCCGATTCTGACTTTGACGTCCTCGTCCGTCCCGCCTGTAGTTGGAACAGTGCTTCCTAGATAAGTGAAGGAGGTTGCTTCCTTTAAGTTCCTCCCGTTGACGGTGATTGGAGTTTGTTGTTGTTGTTGGTTGGGTATCTTCATCACCTCTGTCTTCTGTATATTCAACTGAAGTCCCGCCTTCGCTGCCTCTTCTGTCAACTTGTTAGTTTTTGCCTGCAGATCTTCAATTTTATGTGACATCAGGCATAGTAACACACAGTAGCAACGCAATATTCCGGGACTGAAGTGAGATCTGTACAGAAGTTGAAAGTTTTGTACAAGACTGGACATTTACTGGCTTGGTAGTCTGTTAGCCTCAAGTTCCTACCGTATTTCTCCTTATTACAGACTTCTTATTGTCTTTACATCCTACCATTGCATTCAGACTCCCCGACTCAAGAATTCAGATTTGGAGTGTCAGGACTTAGGTTTCCACTGCACGACGTGTTGCAACCTTTACGGTAAATCTGTTTAAATATTTTAGTATCCTTCAGAAAAACTATCCTATAGTCATTTCATTAGTTAGTATGATAGTCTTTAAAGTCATTCGCTGAATCAGATGGCTTATCACTAGCTTAGATCAAATACGCAACTGAACTCTTTCACATTATTATCCCTGTGAACAGCATCTGACACAAATTTACATGTTTATTAAGTGAATATAAATCCATTCGACCTAAGGCTTGGTTTTGTGCACTAAAGAAGTATTGGAAAACTAACGACATTCTTCGACTGACTCTACGGTGACTCATGAAGAAACCAGTTACATCCCTCTATGGAGGCTGGACAAGTGATTTTATCATTAGTTGTTAAGGCGGCCTTTGGATTCACTCCATTGTTGACGTTGATTGCAATTATGAAGTTACACTAACTTGGTGTAGGAAAAGAATAAGCAAATAAATTTAATGGATAAAGGGTAATTCAAAACATTTTGTTTATCAGATTTGCATGAAATTCAATATTTTTCACTGGTACCAGTTATTCTTAGTTACGAAATTCCGATTTCTGGCTTATCTGTTGCTTTCTCTTATTCCTGTCGTTATTATGTTTTTGGCGATATGTAGGCTTGGATATCTTAGGCCATAGTTATGCTCAGGTTACGCATTGAAACGATAACAGTTGGGATTTTCCATCTGTGTATGATCCAACTAATGTTGGGATTGCATTTGTGTGGAGATATTTTTACGGGATATCGAATCATTATTGGTTGAAAGGATTAATAGTTAAATTACACCTAAAAAAGTCTAATAGACAGTGAGTAACAACGGGATACTAGGAAGGTATTCTTATCAGTATCCATTGGATATTCAGTTTCTAAGCTGTACGGTGAGTTAGATCTGTGCATGACAAGTTCCTTATATTGGATAAGAAGGAAGTAGATGAATAACTTAGCAGTTCTAAAAGATCACGTCATCAGGAGTCCTGTTGCCAGCTAAATAATACGAGCGAAATCTTCTGCTTAGATCTCCTAATGATTCAGCCAGAAGGACTGGGAATTATCAGAAGTGTATAACTCAGACAGTATGCATACCTCTTTAGTTTCGTTCCACTACAATAAGTATAGAAACTTGATCAGATAACTATTTGAAAGAACAAATAGGATTCTTTCTGGTGCGATGAGTGATAAAGTTACAAAATCTGATTGAGGTATTCGAACAGAATATTTGCTCAGAAACTTCATGAGGAAGAATACGATTCGAAAAATGAACCAGTTAGTCATCCTCACTTGTGGTGAGGAGCGAATATTCATGAAATATAGTTTTATGGGTAGTATACCTGGTGCAGGTTGTTTCAAACAGAATGCGACACCTATTGAACAAGAAGTTTTTCTGTAGTGGCTCCGCAACTATCTTGCAGCTACAGATGCACCGTACTACCTTGTCTGAAGGGTTGTGTTTTTTATGTATCTGTTTCAATATGTATTTATAAATTCATTTCCGGAGGATTTTATTACCTAGAATTTACTATGCGAATCCTTTGGAACGTGCTATAAAAGCATTTACCAGTATGTCTAACCGACAAAGAAGAAACTAAAGTTACGAGTTCTTTTATGTCCCCTTAGATGACACTGGTTACAATGTAGATATTTTGCTTGCATTTCCAGTGATCTCTGTGATATCAAACTGGAAGTCAAAAGCAGTAAGAGTTCAGTATCTTTAAACTACTAAAGCTAATACCAAAATATTTCATGGAATCCTAACTTAAAACGTAAAACCTTTTCAAACATACACTTCTGCTTGCATGCCCATTCACAAAGATGAAAATCATATATATTTCACTCATACAATGAATGAAATAATTAATTATGATGTGATGTTTCTCAAGTTTTTCATTCATACTTCTAATTTTTATGTTTCGATTCCTTATTTAAGTTGATTCTTGACTACCCACTAAGATTTTTAATATGAAATCAATTATAATTGATAGTCTGTATACTTGTTGATCCTTAAATCTATTATTCATTCAAAATCTCAAAGTTGCCGCACAACTCTGATCCTAGAATTAATTCAGTGTATAGGTAACTATCAATATTCAAGTTCAGGAAGCTACTCTTCAAGTTTATATTCCTCAGCATGAAATATATAGTATTTTTAAATGGAACAACCTGATTTGACCTATGACATTACGTACATATTCAAATTTTTGTCATTTTATAATGATTCTGGATAAACTCTTTGTAAAATAAAAGTGTCTTCTAATTCCAAACACTTGGTTGAGTCATGTTTTCTTATGGTATGTTTACTTTTCTATTCATTGCATAATCAGATTTATGTGAAAGTGTGAAAAATCAGTGAAAAATTTGCTGCCTATGAAACATTATCAGACATAAATTAGGCAAACAACATGACTAGTATAATTGTTTTTATATGATACCGTCGTTGATTGGACCGAGTTGATCGGTCCCTATTAGCGCATGGGCTCCTGTGAGGATGCCTTGATATTGCCAGCGTTCTAATTATGTTAATCATGGATCGTGGCTAGCAGTGGAATCCAGGATATGCATTTTGTCCTATTCGGGGCTCATCAACATGACAGTGTGACCGATACATAAGTAGAAATAATATGTTCGACATTGTAGCTTTTTTTACTTCGATCTTATATCTTTCGAATGTAAATAGAAAGATGGATTTTTGAGTAGTGGATTCTTAGTCATAAGCTTAGATTAGTTCAATTTTCTATAAAGTCATCATCTGACATAGAAACTTCACTATCATTTATAAATGAAATCTTAAGTTATCATGCAATCAAGCCTTGTGATTAAGTAATCCGCCTAATATATTTTCAGTGGACTAATACGGGTATTTATTACCAAGTGACGTAACACTGAATACCTAAGCGTTTGAATATCAACCGCACAAAACGCCATAAAGAGCTCCAGCAAAATGATTTTCGATGTCAGTGATTACTGTGGTACACTTTGGAGACCGATACAGTAACTGACCGTTTCAGATGTCAAATTTTTGTGCAGAAGGAAGAAGACAGTATACGAGTGTATGGCTCTAAAAGTGGAAATTAAAAGATCCTATACACTTTGAAGATGACCTTGTAATTATTCTAATGTTTGTTCTGAAAAGACTGAAATTATAATTGTGATAATTTCTTATAACTCTAGTTTATTTGGTGCAGTACACAATGATGCTGTTTAAATAAAAGTAAATAATATTGTATTGTTGTGCATGGTGTTAGAATAGGAATATTAAATGGAATTTTATTTTATCAGAATGGTCAGGTTTTACTCTTACAGTTGCTTTACTTTTCAATTTTAAATCACTGCTAAAGTTCTCATTGGAATGTTTTTCCCAACTTTTGAAAAATTCTATCGAATGACACGTAAGATGTTAGTAATTTTATTTTCACTAGCAAACTGCAGTATTTACCACAGCTGAAGAACAAATGAAAACCTACGAGCATTAGACAGCTATTTCGTCCTGGTACGGGAATCTTCAGCAGTGTGTATTCACGATGCCACCAGAGTTCCAAATGGGGACCTCCAGGTGTTGGCCGGAGAGTGGCAGCCTTTCAGCTATTGCTTTAGATTTCAGAGGTTCACAGTTTCCTACTTCTGTCAATTTATGGCATAACGCTAATATTCTCCAAGGTTTTCAGCTGACATCTTCACTTTCAACTGATTAACTCCATGGGTCATGGGTTCTGACTGAAACTCCTAAATATTCCTCTCGAAGCATATCGCTGAAGAATACTATACAGTAATTTAGCCTTAGGTTCAAAACAGCTGAATATGTCAAAATCTTAGAGATAAAAGGCATATTTATAATAAGGATGGAAGAAATGAGTGATCCAGATTCCATCACTAGCCATTATCTATCATTCATCGTGAAGTCACCGACTGTAGCTAGACATAAGAACGTAAGCCAGATCCCAAGAAAGGCTGATCGACTCGCTGCAAACCAATCGACAGCCATAAGGAGTGATTCCTAATATTATGAGTATAATTAATTTACAAGCTCTCAGCCTCTTGTTATGCAGTCCTGAGAAGCAATAAAACTGGTAATTTCTGTCAAGAGTTTGTGCTTCTTCTTTGAGAATTTAAATAATGTATTAAAAGTTTGGAAGTTGGACTAAAGCAGTCACGTCTATACAGTAAAGTATGAAGAATATTTTGAGGAGTCTGTTATTCCATTCCTTAAATATATAAAAAGGTATATTTCTAGGGAGGGAATCAGTTAGGAATCTTGAGGGTCGAGAAAAAGAAGTATACTGGTGAATAAATGAGATATTGCTGAAAATGTTTGTCACATATATATATTTCAGGATACTGTTTTTGATAATTCAGTACCAAATAGTGATAAGTATTTCAGTTAGGCCTTAAGTCTCTTTGGATTTTCGTTCTAGAGACTGTATTATTGAAAGTATGCAAATGCTTATTAGTACCTATAGTGCTTTTTGCGTATCCAATATTTGCTAAATAAGAAAAAAAGTAAAATGTCATTTTCATCAATAAATAAATATTTTGCAAGTGACCATACCCATTTTCGGATTGTGTTTTACCTGCTGTTTTGGAGTAAGGTATTTGAGCCACTAGTTGAGAATTCTGTTTATGGTGTAGCAAGAAAAATTCGAAACATGGTTAGATAGCTATCTAACAGTGATCAATAGATCTCAACAGGTTACTTAGTGTAAGTCACCAATATAGTGATAAGATCCTTGTTTAAATATATTTGCCAGCACTGTGCTACGAAATCCCAGTAATTCACTAAGAAAATTCTTGAGCTGTGTAGGAGAAATGTGTTCTTTTTTTTACCAATTTTTACTTCCAAAGTTTTTAGTTTACAATCATCTAAATCTCCCTATCCCATCATTACTCTGAATTTACATGTCGTATAGATTCATGCTGAGCCTGTGCTACTTACTACTGAAGAACTTGGTTAGTTAAAAACCTCTCAGGGTGCTCTGTAGTACTTTGCCAACAACATGAGAGTGACCTAACCACTGGACGGCCGATTGGCTCTTTCGAGGCTGGGCCAGCCAGCCACTGACGTGAACAAATTCAGCTCATACAGCAGAACTAGATCGCGTCATTTGAAATGGACTAGCCAACTTGCATAGACCGGTATACCTAAAATAAGAAGATAAGTATGCAAAAGATTTACAAACTGTATGGTCCACGTTGATTTTTCTCACAGGCGAGTTGTTTTTCACCTGACCAACTGTGGTATCAACAAAGTTGCCGAAGGAAGCCACTCAGCCGAGACCACAAGGTGTGATATCTGAGACAGACAAATTATGAACTAGCCTAAGATACTACCACTGAGCCACTTGAGTAGTTATAAACCAGTCAAGCTGTTCCGTAGTATTTTGAACTAATTCAGCTACATGAGCTTTATTTGTCCAGGCACACCACCGATGAGCTCAGCTTTGGGTGAGTAAAACAATCGTCCAATACTCACATCATTATAATCTGGCCAGCGAAATTCCACAGATCAGCCTGAATGATACATAACTAATCAGGTTGTTTAGTAGTAGTATCTTTCACTAGTTTATGACACGTATGTGTCATAGATCACATCTTGTGATCCCGTCTGAGTGGTTTCTATCGAAAACCTTTTTGACACTAAAATTGGGTACATGAAAAACTACTCACCTGTGATAAACGTCAACGCGGAGCATGCAGTTTGTTAATCATTTACAATTTTATCATCCTATTTTGTGTTGCGTCTTCTCACATTTTGTCTCCACTCTGATCAGTCTCAAGGATTCCTAGCAAATGTTATGACACCAATGTTGATTTCCTCGCAAATGACGAGTTCCGGTGTTCTTTTGGTGAGAATGACACTCTACTTTATTTCTTTCAATTTCTGATACACAGCTGTACCAAAAAAGGAACGATTATACCAAGGGGGAACGTATTCATTTAGGAATAAATAACTTTAATTTTTGGGAGGGTAAAACGAGTCGACCCTGCTGAACATTTTACTCTTCTTTCATTACTTGGTGGGTATTCTTATTGATCTTTCATTGTCTTCATTAAGTACACTAACAGATTTCATGCGTTCAGTGTGTAGGATTTCATCATGTACTGCCGACTGAGGTGGGCAGCTTTGGTTACACATATCAACAAACAAGGATTGTTAGCCTCATCGCAGCTATCTAAACACCCTATGGCCATTTCGCTCGTTCGTGTCTAAGCCTGTCAATGGTGTATCAATAGTTGATCCAGCTTACGGAACCGAATTGTCAAAGCCACCCAATGCACGATTAGCCACTCAATCGAACTGGTCATGTCTAGAATCAAATTAGGTGTTTGCAGAAATAAGTAATCCGTAGGATGAAATACCACCACGGCTTTTTATGTTTTACAATTTGGCCCTCTGAGCTGAAGCAATCCTCGTACTCTACTGATGAGCTTGGGCACAAACAGTCGAAACGTTCTTTCAGTGTTTAGATCATTATAATATGTCCAGTGAGCGCTCCTGGTCAATCCAAGTGGTCTAGAACTACTTAGGTCAGTCAGTAGTATACTATCATAATCATCATCTTGACTGTGATGTCAAGCAGATCATAATGAGCTGTTTTCATAGGAAAACACGGTGAGACTTTTTACCATGGACTGCCTATTTTCGCAGCACGTGATTCGACTCTGTAAGTTTTCGCCTCTCAACTAACTGCTCGGAATCATCAATAGAAATTTAGACCTAACAACTGACTAATCAACTTCTTAACTGATTAAATGAGACTTCATTGTCAGTTTTCATATTTTGACCTGAATTAGAAATTGTTAAGTTACAATTTTACGCTCCAGATGCTCCTTAATTATTGATCTTTTTGTAATAAGCGAAAATTTATTTTGAACGACTTTGTTGATAATGTATGAAATTTATAATTCACGTTTTAGATTTTAACTTTTGCGGCATATCTACGAGTGTTAACGTGTTAGCTTGACTTTTCCTAATTTCATTTTAGGCAAGTAGACGTAGAAGAGAAATGGTTGAACGTGACCGACTATATAAGGTAAATTGCATGACACAACATTAAATTTTGTGTGTTTTTTCAGTAGCATTTACAAGAATATGAAATTCCATTTAGTGTAAAGCACTAGAAATAGTCTGGTTCCGCATAGAAATATTGATAAACAACTCAAATTTTTAAGACAAGAATTCATCTGTGGCAAAAGCGCTGGCTAACAGTTGCTACTTTGACCTTTGATCTTTAATGGTTAATTCCATATGTTTCGTACGTAAGCTTAATGACTTCATCACTGTTAACCTTTATATCATAACTAAGAGAACTCATATAATACAGGTATGTTGTATGTAAACACAAACATGGGTTGCGAGATGAAAAACTTGTACAACGATGGGGTTGAGCAATTTGACAGTCATATCATTGAAATATTCTCAGTGGTCAGAGAAATAAGATTGGATAAGGAATATGGTTCACAATCATTTTTTCATCATATGGCTCAACAGGCTTTTAAATGCTACACAAATTATTTTAAGCAAGTGGTTAACACAGCAAGTAATACGATACTTTTTAGAGTGTGTAGATTTTGCATCTGATAGTAACTAAGATCATAAAATTATTTTAGTTACTGTGACTGTCGATCAAAAACTCATTTAGCTATTTTCCTAGCTATCTAATCCTAACAAAAAGACCTCAAATATGTCATGTTTCCGATCTCAAGAAAAAAGATTATAGTTCAGGTACTTTTGTCTGATATAAATTTCAGTTTAAAATTCCTTCATCTGCGTAAACAGTAAGTAGTTATGATAATATCATGCAATTTAAGTTGTCTTATGTAAATGCATAGTCTAAAATGTTGTTTTTATTGTTTTTTATGAAACACTCAAGTTGGTTAAATATGTATTATGACGTAAAGGTTGAGTGATCATAAAAACAGTTATGTAAGATTTTAAATCACTGATAAGGTTCAGATACATTAAAAAGGGATGAAAACGTGAAGAAAACGATTTTAAGGTTGGCTACCGAATTCGCTCAAACACTTCACGTTTCCTCTGTGTTCAAATTCTAAAAACAGAAGAGAACTTGGCTATCCATGAACCGAAGCCTGACCTTTGTGTGCAAAAGAAGTATGTACAGTCTTTGCCTCTGTCTTAGCCTTAACTTATTTTGGTCTTGGTGTGCTTCGTTCCTGTTTCTTTTCTCAATCCCCCTTACTTTTTTGTCAGATTAATTTTGTACTCTTATTTCGTCATTATCACTTCATTCTTACATTTAAGTGTTTCCGGTGTTATTTCATTTGATCTTCCTAATAATCGCTACTTTGAACAAAGCACTTTCATTTGTTCTAGATATTGCTATGTAGCAATGATATGACAAGTGGAAACACATAAAAGATTCCCTCAAAATAAATAGTCATTTATCATGTCACCAACCAAGTTGAAATATATTCAAGAAACATTTTGTGAGGGTTTCTAGAGATGACGCTGTTTCTGTTACAAATGTCACCCTTAAACAACTTTAAAATCTTGAAATACGTAGGAAAGTACGAAGCGTTTTCAAAAAGGCAGTTTCTTTGCCTTGTAGTGTTTTATGTATTAACAAGAAAAATTGATTTTCCAGACATTTGTAAAGCTTTTGATTTAGGAATACTCTATATCCCATTCATCAGGAGGTCATCAGTTACTTATCTAAATGTTCAGGATATTAGCCGAATACAGTTTTGTAATATGCTGAACACATAAAGAAAGTACATTGAACTTATCGATAAAACAAGCTAATTATGTAACCCACCTCTGGCCAGTAATTATAGGGTTTTAAATACTGGAAACTTTAATATATTACGCTCACACGAACTAATAAAAACATCATTGGTATCGCTTTCTCACCTTACACTTTAAAATATGCTTCTAGTTCAGTTTGCCGTTATGTGTTCCAAAGAATTTGACGCACACGTATGTTTCTCCTCATATCGAGGGACGGAGAGTAAAGAAAACTACTTTATACGGTATTTTCAAGAGTATTTTTCATAAGAAAGGCCAAAACGTGGCTTCAGCGAAGAAAATTTTTTCTTTTCGACAAAGTCATTTACTAAGCTATACATTCGTGAATATATGGTACAATGGGCGGGACGTTCCAGAATTATTTCCGGTTAGGGGCAAAATATACTGAGTAGCTAATGGAAGTTATTCAATACACATTTGGGTTTAGAGTGGGAAAATAGACAAGGGATTATGAAATTAAGTGCAATTACGTAATACAGGATGAACGTAAGGTTAGGTAGGAAACTGAACGAAGGGTTATGAAAATAAAATTGTAATTACGTAGTGCAGGTTAAATATAAGACAGAGTAGGAAAATGAATAATGTATGAAGGAAATACATGTGTAGTTACGTGATAAAAAATGTATCTATGACAGGCAATGCTTTATAATGGCCACAGCAAAGATAAAGGTTGGACGCACCTTTTTGGACGCATAACGCTGGTTTGAGCTACTGGATAGCTAGTGCTTTTATGACAATTAGTTATTTATTGCTTTGAAATAGCAGAGAATTTAATTCCGCTTGAAGCCTTAAGTTAAACTACACACAACCAGGTTTCAAGATTGCATGGATACACATATCTTAGTGACTAGCAGTAGAATCCAGGATGGGCATTTCGTCTTATTTGTGATCCGATTGTTTATTCTAAACGAACAGCATTGTCAGTATCATCTTTGCTCATTATCTGACCTGTTTATTGTTACTGCTAGTAACTAGGCTGAAAATGAACCACCAGTTTGGAAGAAAAACTCCTAACTAACAAAACAGAAGTGTTATTCGGACCCTGGAAATTTTTAGGAAGAACTGGGGCAAAGTTTCTTGTTTTTTAGCACTCGTTAGCATGGTTTGTGTGCAGCTTCAGGGGAACTGAAGTCTTCCGTGGGATTCGAACTAGGATGACTTAGTGTTGCAGTCAGAGAGGCATCTGCTGAGCTACTTGGTCTGTCTTAAGATTGAAATAGATACATTGGCTGAGTGGTCACTGTAAAGTTACCGATAATGTTTGCATAGTATTTTCCATTTTACGGAGGTTTTAACCCTTCAACTTTCAACGTACTCCAAATGAAAATGACTACTTAAAAACATATTCTGATGAACATATACATAGTTTCGTCTCTTTGGTTTATCTTTTAACAGTGACAACAAAATAAGCTTACATTTTTATCGCATGATACTGTAGGTAAACTGATTTTTATTGAGCATGTCAATTTTTAATTTCAGTAACATCTTTCTTAATAAGAAAATATGTTGAGAATATCTGCAAATTGCGTTCTCGGTGACCTTAAGAAGCAATGAACTAGATATCTGTTTAATACTTTTGTTTACAATTTATGAATGTTAGTTAATCCATAGTCATACATCTTGAAGTTAATTCTGAATAGTAGTATTGATGATAGAATGTAAAGAAAATAGCTTAATAGTTTCACAAAATGCAATGCTATTACTAAGATTTGCAACTGATTTTTCATCTGCATAACTGTTTCTATTAAAGTTTGAGTTAGAAGTGATTCAGTTAAAATTATCAATAAGGATCACTAACACAAACATGATATAATTTAACAGATTGTGATACTTAACTACCGTTCTCTTCAATCAAGGAGACCAGATTCGGGTGATCTGAATATTATGGCTCTGTTGAGTAGATTTGGTCTTGGTAAATCATTGATGAATTCAGTCACAAGCAAGAAAAGTGACTATTCACTGTTCATATCACTCTGAACTGCTTAGGAATTAGCGCAAGTTTCCTAGTTACCTCATTCTGTCAACTGTATATTTTCGATGTAGCAACGCAGGCTCTCAAAGGTTTTTTAAAACTCGATATGGTTTAATGATTACCTAATATAAAGAAACGATCTATTAAGTGTGATGATTATAGCAAAAAAGATTTATGCTACAAGTATAGAGAACTAACTCAGCGGAAGCAAATCTGCGTTTCAAGGATTACTTAGTCATCCGAAGCAAGCTCTTAAATAATGAGTGTTGAGTCATGGTTAACAAATTGGATTTAGATAATACCGTACTGACAAATGTTTATAAGAGGATAGATATCTTTCATCAAGCGAGCAGACAAAACAGCTAATCATTGTCACCCTTGAAAATTAGGAAGCTTGGCTTGTGGTAGTAAATATGTACAGACTGTATCAATGGTGCACTGATTATTTTACCATCATCATAGCTTATTTTTACTTAGAGTTTAAACTTTCGACAACAAACGAAGCCTCACTTTTAGTTATTATCGCCAAACTAAAGATCCAGTCTAAAATCTACATTTAAGAATATTCCAGTGACTCAGAAATTCTTTTCGAGATGTTAGGCCTTTAAAGTCAACGAAATAGTCAATGTTTGTGCTGATCGAAGCAATAATAAATTTGCGCACATAAAATTAGCTTAGACGAACCTAATTCTAATGAGTAAGTTTTTAGGAAGAAACAAACTGGAAAGATTTAGTCTGCTGAAGTATATCGATTCTCTTCTCACGCAGATACTTATCATGCAGGATAATTCTTCAAACTTCCGTATTACATTTTCACTAAGGGATTAAACAATTTTATTCTTGTTCAATTTCTTTACAGAAGTGTATGCAAGCTTCAAAAGCACTATAAAGTAAGTTTACTTTGTCTAACCTTGCCAGAGATATACCTATTTATCTTATTGTGTACATTATCAACCAGTGAATGTTGTCTAATGTTTGTACAGTCACTGAACCACACATAGTTCATTAGAATAAGTTTTAATCAAAACCACTCAAGTAGGTGGGAAAATATCATGATACAGTGGTTGATGTAAGCTATTTTAAGGTGATCAACAGGAATCTCGCAACCTATGTTTCATGATTTCCTAGAATCTGTCTTCAAATTTTATCTGTAGGCATCATGAAAATAAAGTTTGTTCATCGTGCTACGTAGTGGTGTAGTCAGTAACTCCAAAACAAAGGTATAAGGAAGAAGACTTACCTCAAATGGATTCCATAAACTGTTGCCAGTTGTCTGCAAGATGTCTAGTTCTCAGTAACAATAATAAAATAAAAGTATTCTTTTGTTTTTCTTTGCACTTAACTCCATCATGCATGAAATCTAGTCTTAAGGTTTTCCGCTGACCTAATACTCTTCCTCCAAATGTATGACAACACTTAATTATTGGGATACAAGTAAGAGCAGAATGAATTAACAGCTACTTAACTGATTTGATATATACATGGATATTAAAACATACATTCAGATATGAGCCATAGAATACATAATTTTACAAGATAAATTAACCATAAAGCACTCCTCCACAAAAACACCAAAATAAGATTTATTTTCTTAGATGTAACTTCATATATATATAGCAAGTTTTATTTCATCGACATTTTATAACAGGAACTGAAAAATGGGGAAATATTACAGGGATACTTGTCTAAAATTGGTTGTTTTCATAATTATTTGTACTAGCAATCACCGTAGATGTCGACAATGTGCCATGAGGAATTGTAAATATTTAACAGATTGTCAGTCAATATGACTCACACAGCAAGAATGTAATAAACGGTTAAAATGTTTGGTATACATACCGTAAATATAAATTCAAAAAAGATATATGTAAATCGTCTCTAAACATCGTTAACAATAAGTGTACATAAACGGTATTTATTTCAAGATTCCTCCTAGTTTTAGAAGGGGAAATAAACTCTTTGAATTCAAATAATGAATCAGATTTCTGGGACAATTCTGTGTTGGTTCACGCATATTACTGCTTAGGCATCACCATACTCCACTGCAATGAAATAAAACATCTTTTAGATGGGAAAGTAGGTTAATAATTAGCTAGGGCCTAGATTAAATTGAAAGCTAGAAATCTGACATTAGTTGTTTGCAGCCCTCAACTTTTTATATGCGTATATGTATTAATCATACTCTGGACTATTTCAACAGCACTCATCCGTCAATTCATGTTATATACGAAAATGAAATCAATACTTTGATACATTTTCTTGATGTGCTAATGATAAGAAGCAAAGATGGCTCTATACTGAGAAGCATATGTAGAAAACGAATGTCTAAGGTACAGTTTACGCACCTTCTCAGTTTCGTATCCATGAAGTACAAACGTGACATAATAAGGTGCCTGGCTTTTAGAGTAAGATCGATTTGTTCCAAGGAGTGTATGGAAAAAGAACTACTGTGTATCCGTGATGTTCTAAGTGAAAATGGATATCCGGACAAGTTCGTTAAAGCTAACGTCAACGACATTGGTCCTAAACGACAACTGATAATAGTGGGAAAGAAGCCTTTGGTTTTTTGCGCTTACAATTCAAGAGAGATGATGCAAGTGACATTCTATCACAACACCAAGCTAGAGCACTCAATAGGACGTTTTATGCAGGTTGGCCTTACATATCATTCAGTAGTCGGTCAATGATCATTCCGAGAGTAAAGGATAGCCCACCTAATCTTAGGTCTTCATCTTGCATATATCAATTTAGCTGTTCCTGTGAAACCCGTTACATAGGGCGTACGGTTAGGCAGGTACGTCTCCGGATACGAGAAAATGTACCACTCTGGTTCATAAAACGTGAGGTTAAAAGTTCAGCCCTAGCACATCTAGTCGACAAAGGGCATCACAAATATACCAATAAAGCTTCCAGTGTCATTCATCGTGTTACAAAAACAACACCACATGTAGCTTGCCAACGCCTTTTCAACAAACCGAAGGCTGTTGCAATAACACTGATCAAGCCAGAACTCTATTTTCAGAAAGAACATGTTGAAGCGCCACTTCTCCCTTGGCTTTCAGTAAACTAAAGGCCGCTCATGCCGTCTTATTCACTATCTTTTTGTTCACCGTGATACCATCTTCTGTATATGTGTCACCCCAATATTGACTGACATAGAAAAGATAAATCGATTTCCTTACAATCTCTATATCACACTCCATGTTGAAAATGTAACTGCTCCTAAAATGGTCTGTTTTTGCACTGCGCAAATGCATTTTATAACAGTAGAACATGTAGAGAATTTCTTGAAAAGAATATTCTTCGTACAGGTTGTTGGTTTTTATAAACTCTACTACCTGCTGATTTAGCCCAATAAAGTTAAAACTGTAAGACATCTAAGTCTTTTGTTTAGCATGCATTCTGGAAATGCCAAATTTCTACCTGTTAACATAATGATTCTGGTGAAAGTTCCTCATATGTCATTTCTAGATCATTTCTTATTCTCATAGAGCTAGCTATTTTATTACGTGACTAAAATTCAGGATTGTTTAAGCTTTAAATAAACGTCATTCAAAATAAGGCATTATTATACACTATAAATTTTAGTGCTAGATAAGTATCTCCTAAAAACTTTGTTTCCGCAGGATAATAAATCATTTATTGAACTTTATTATGATTTATCATACTTCTATAAAAAGCGAATTTTGACGGGCGAATAAATGAATACGGACATTATGAACTTATGGAATTCTGAATCCAGTTTTACTAATCTCATTTGTCATAGTGAAAATAATACATATAACTTAATTATCAAAGATTAAAGTGTCATCAAAATCCTATTGATAACGTTATTGAATTTAAAAATGTACAGGAATTTACTTTACTTCAGACAGTCTAACACTTAACTAGAGGCATTTTTCATAAGTTTATCCTCAAGACTTTGTGTAACAGTAAAGTAGTGTGAAGTAATTTAAACTACTTTCTCCTAAATATTGGACATAAACTATGAATTCCTAAATTTAATAGCTGAGTTAATATTACATAATTATTTTCCACTTGTCTCCTAAAGTCATCGGAGTAATTTATGAAACAGCCAATTATTTTAGTTTCTTTGATGTGGAAAAGAAGCATTTTATGAAAAAGAATAAAGTAAATCACACTGTGTCACAATCGAATGTTTCAATTTTCCTACCACTGTCAATTCGTAGTACTGCACCATGGTCATTTGATGCTATCGGATTTTGATACAGACAGTAAGTAGTAGCTTACTCACTGAATTTTCTGAGTTAGATTCCTAGTGGAGTCTCAGATTAGAACTAATTAAGAGTCTCATAATAGGACGAAACAGTTGTTCAGTGTGTTCAGACTTTAGTTGTTTTCCAGTTGGTGTCAGTACATGATGTGTACCACCTTAAAATCAGTCACTACCTAAGATCTTTCCATTTAAATTTCACTTCCTAACCCTATTGTGTTTAAACAGTTTCCTTTTACTAAACGTGGAAGCAGTCCGAATTCAGTGGGTTGTAAATTGTCAAAAACTGTGTGAATACTGGGTGATACCTCACATTTTGAAGAGTGAAGTCTGTACAGTAAAGTATGTACTGAACGCTTTTAAACCTTCACTGCCTTTGAACAGTCAAATAAACACTACTTGATGTAACTGATGACTAAGATGATGTCATCATGTCCATATTTTATTGATGTAGTTACTATGGTTAATATAGACAGAAAAAGCTCAATTTTTATGTTACTTCTTTCGCTGTGCTACTGCTTAAGAATGATTTTAAATTTGTGCTAACCAGAAAGAAGTCACTTATTAATCCTTCTGCGTTCACATGAAAATCTAATCAACCAGGTGTGACAGAACTATGTATGATTTAAAGAATATACGATAATGAACAAATATAACCAAACAATCAGCACTTTGACAAGAATCAAAGTGAAATAAGTAGTCTTCATATATTTTACAGTTGGTATGAAACTTACGAGAACCTCGCCTGGTTAACTAGTTCACTAGTTACTAGCCGGTCCTAAGCCCAGGTAAACAGGGAAGGTTCGGCATAGGGCTAGCAACCCTACACCGTAAAACAAATCTAACCGCTAAACAAACTTCAAAGCACAAACAAAATATAAAAAATGGAAACAAACTTATTCCCCGCTGGAATCGGAGAGGCGAAATGACGCCAGTTGGTGAAAGCCTTCGGGAAGCCAATTGGCCGACGTGTCTTCGCTTCTCTCGATGAAAGCGAAAGTAAACGTGGAGACATGGAATGTCCGTACGATGTTTGAACCCAGTAAGGTAGCCCAGATTGCAAAGGAGATGAGAAGGTATCACATCGAAATGCTTGGGATTTGCGAAAGCAGATGGAATGGGAGTGGACTCCGCAAACTGTCAACTGGAGAATCAAAAATCTACTCCGATATTGTCACCCAGACGACAACCACGAGCACACTGAGGGAGTGGCTATCATGATGTCCCCAAGAGCATCGAAGGCTCACTCTCATGCAGTGGGAACCAATCTCCTCCAGGATCATGACAGCAAGATTCAACTCAAAAGGAAGAAAGGTCACAATCATACAATGCTACACTATGCACCTACAAATAATGCAGAGCAAGAGAAAAAGGAGGAATTCTACAGACAACTTCAATCAACACTGGACAAGACGTCAGTTGGCGATATCAAAATTCTAATGGGCAACATGAATGCCAAACTGGGAGGGGAAAACACGGGAAGAGAACTGACCATGGGTCGAGAAGCGCTCGGTGAGGTGATGAACGAGAATGGAGAATTGTTTGCAGAATTCTGCACATTCAACGATTTGGTGATTGGAGGCAGTGTGTTCAAGCACAAAGATATCCACAAAGCGACAAGGATTTCACCAGACACCAGGACACACTAAAAATCAA